TCAAATGCTGAGCCAGACCATATCTAGAAACATCTTCATGCTATTATTTTGTCTCTGGGGAGCTTTATTACCTTCTATTTGTCTGTAATGAAACTCATATGGGCATTGAACTTGTCTAAAAGAAAATGATTTCTTATATGCACAAAATTATACCTGAAACAGAACCTTGGATGCTTAGGGTGAAGCCCAATTGTGAAGGCAGTTATGCCCCAGAACACCCACCCGCACCCACCCCTAGCCTCCCAACCGCCCACCTCCCCATCCTTGACCCCTGACCCTGCCACTCTGGCTCTAGGGTGCCAGGATCACTTTGTTTTAGGTTTCTCTTTAATCTTTGACTGCCTTTGTTCATCACTCTAGAACGGTTGTTTGGAAATTAGCTATCAGATACTGCTGTGCTGTCCAGCAGTCGGGAAGGAATTGAATATTAGTTCAGTTATTCACTGAGACAATTCGTAGGGGCCACTCAGTTAGTGCAGGGTCTGTTGCATCAGCTCAGGCTGAAGAGAGTGAGATAATGGGAGGTCATATATATGAAGAGGGCAGTGCCAGGGAGCTGAGCCGGAATTACTGGGAGCACGCTGCTGCCAAACATAGGTCCAGCAGGAGGAAGGGAGGGTGATGGTCTTGACAATGAAGCAGAAGCCCTGTGATGGAGCTACTTGGACCCCTATTGGAAGCCCAGCATTTTTTATCAATGCCAGAAAAACAGGACTCGATGATGGATTTAAAGCTGGCAAGTGACATGACACATTTTATTTTACTGAAAGCAATAGAGAAGATGAATGTAAAAGGGTCAGAATGGGAGTCATGAAGGCTAACAGTGAAAGCCTCTCCCATGAGCCTCAGCTACAGGGTCAGACCCTGAGTCAGACCATAAAGATGGAGCAGAGGGATAGACTGTCCACTTTCTGAACTCCAAAGAGCAAGGCTGAGAAGCAGGTTGACAATGGAAGCCTCCAGCAGAATGTTGACCATGAAGCACTCTGCTCCAGCTTAGATGTCTGCCAGGTCTGGTGCTTCAGGAGGAAAGCACTGTCTTTTCTCGCCATTACAGGGTTTTGGTTAAAGCCCATCTAACAGACAAGTTAACAAGATGACTGCATATAGATCAGTAGAGTCTTAAGTTTCACATGGCATGGACAAACACCCAGAGAAATGTGGAAATCTGTGGGTTTTATGCACAGGCACACTTAAATATGACTGGAGAACAAAAGAGACTGATCTCATTTTGATGAACTGAGCAAGGCATGTTTGTTCGAATTCTTGGCATCTCTGAGTGATATTCCTTCCTATGAGTATAGAAAGAACCCCGATCACTTGAGGCTCTTTAGGGTAAAAGGATAAAAAATGTGTATGTGCATGTGTGTGTGCGTGTGTGTGTGTGTGTGTGTGTGTGTGTAAGAGAAAGAGAGAGAGGAGAGAAAGAGAGAGAAACCTTTCTGTATTTTATGTCATTTATTGTAGAAGGACGAGGGAAGGGAAGAATGACCTTCCTGCTTCCTGCTTCTGCTGGTTTCCCAGATGGCAGACAGGGTGCAATAACTTAGGGTAGTGTGCCCTGTATGTCCACCAGTACCATCTTAATACAAGAAGAAATAGAACTGCTGGGTGATACATGTGAAGGTCAGGGCAACGGAAACCACATCCAGAAGTCAGTGGTAGGACGATTTCCAGAGGATCACCATAACAGACTGAAAACAATTATGGAATTCTGCAGTTATGCCTTGGATTGATTCAGCAGGAGAAATCTTAGCAAATTCAAGTGATCATAAGCCAAAACTAAAATGGCTTGAAAAGCAAAGAGACCTTGGCTATACATTGCAGTCACCCACAATCTTCAAAAATTACTGGAAGTCAGTCTGCATCCCAGGCAACCAAAGTTGGCAGGTGGCTGCCGTGTAAAGCTAAGGGCATGGTGACATCATGCTCAGCTCTCCCAAGGAGCTGGAATGAAAGCAAACAGTGAGTGAGCTGAGGATGGGAGGTGTTTAGGTTTCCTGTTTTGAGAAATAGTCTCTCTGGTTAGCCCAGGCTGACTTTGAACTCTTGATCCCCCTTCCAGCTTTTGCTCCGCCATTACTTGCTTATTCTCAGCCCCAGGGTTGGTCTGCTTTCGGCTTAGAGAGGTTCTTGTAGATGTAGCTAGCTTTCTTCTCCTGCATCCACTAAGCACCGCTGGCTATTTTATCACCTCCCTGAATACAAATGTGCACACATGTGTCTCCATATCAGGATTCAGAGCACCTGCAGGCTGGCTCCCACCATCTGGACCTCTGGGATCTGACAGGGATTCATGACCCACATGGAGAAGCTAACTATGAAGCAGGTGGCAGTGGTGCCTATAGTTAATATGCATAGAGCGTGAGGGGTCGGTATGTGTCCTCTGTGTGTGTATGTGTGTCTCTTTGTGTAATGTGTGTATATGTTTGTATGTGTCTCTGTGTGCATATGTACATGTGTGTATGGTGTGTGTGTGTCTCTCTTTGTGTGTATGTGTGTCTCCGTAATGTGTGTATATGTGTCTCTGTGTGCATGTGTACATGTGTGTATGGTGTGTGTGTGTCTCTGTGTATGTGTGTATGTTTGTATATGTCTCTGTTTATATGTAGCGTATGTATGTATGTATATATATATATGTGAGAGAGTGTCTCTGTGCATTCATGTTTATATTTGTATGTGTTTAATGCATTGTGTGTGTGTGTGTGTTATCCTTGCTGTATATTTGCAGAACTCAGTGCTGTATTTACCTCAAGTCATGACAGTTTTCCCCAGACATACCTGTGACAACACATTTTGGCATATTGGTGTGCCTCAAAGTCAGCAGCTCTGCTGCCAGGTTTTAGATGACCTCCATGTTTTCCTGTAGCACACAAACAAAAAACTTACTGGTCTACTCTGCCATAAACACAGGACGTTGGCTGTGATGCTCTCTCGGTCACTTTCTTCTCTCTGAGTAGAACTTAGTATGTATGATCAGTTCCATGGGCACCCTAGTCTAGACGATGTGGTGAAGGACCAGCCTGGCTGCATCATCAGTGCTTCCTGTTGGCCAGACATCCACAAGTGCAATCATCCCCCACTGTTTCTGACATGCTGACCTTCAATGGCAGGTGCTCCACTAAATCCTTCTACATTTGAATGTGTCGAATCTTAACGAGATAGAGTATAGGCATGATACACAATAAACTTTCTAGTCCCACACATGGTCTCTTAACAAGATTAACAGAATCATCAAAAACATCCCACTGCACTAGAGCAATGCTTTCCACAGGTCTAACCTTTAGACACAAGAGACACTTTCTTAGTTCTCCTTCAGCTGTGGAGTGCCAGGGACAAGGACAGAAGTCGGGGCGTCTGGTTCACCTTGTCCCAATATGTGCCGTTACCATACCAAGCCTTAATTCATCCGTCAAAGGGAAACAATATTTGCTACTCCCTTACATACACAGAAGCACACAAATACAGACATAGGCACACACACACACACACACACACACACACACGCACCATTGTGTTGTTGTAATGCACTGAAGAAGGCTGATAAAGCAAGCAAAAGAGCACACACTCGCAGCAAGGGTGGGGAAATGAACATGTGTTTCTTCCATAACATTAGAAAAAAACTTTGTGTTGAGGAAAGATGAAATGTAAACGTGGGATGGAGGTCCTGTAAAAGAGAAGAACTGTGATTCTTAGATTCCTTCAGCACCAGGGGAAGAAAGGAAGGGCAAGTCCTGTCTGTCTCTCAATTATGAAGATTTTGTGTGCTCCTCCATCTTTCCTATGAGAACATGAAGGTTCCTGAAACTGACTGATCAGGTTCTCCTTTTCATATTTTATACTAGAAAGCTGGCCATGAGCAAAGCTCCGAGACTATGTGGCAGGCTGTTGTTTTACAGTGCTGGAGACGGACCCAGGACCTCATTGCACAGTGGACAGGTGCTCTGCCACCGAGACATCCCCTGCCCACTTTACAGTGCTGCATGCCAACCTCACTAGTAGGGCCATCTTGTTCATATGAAGTTTTTCCTCATTCCTTTATTTTGTTTTTATTTTTAAGTAAAATGTAGAAGATTGATATAGTTAGTATATATGACAGTACAAGCTGCTTTATGTCATCTCTTGATAAGTATATCCTTGATTAAAAATTACTAATGAGAAGACACAGATAGATAGATAGATAGATAGATAGATAGATAGATAGATAGATAGATGTCTTGTGATATATGTGATTGTGTGTGTATAAGTTCTGTTTTTCAATAATCTATGATTTATCCCAGAATGTAGCAAGTCAAATTTCTTGCTCCAAATCAGCAAAGCCTCTAGAGGAGAGATTGCCCCACAATAATCACAGAGGTCACCTTTAGGCGTGAATGGACAGTGTGTTTTAAATGGCCCATTCATTCTGTCCTTGGCACAGATGCTATTGTGGTTAATTATTTTGATGCTAATATATGTGCATAGCCTTTTTAATGTGGCGACCAGCCTGAGGAACTGGATCGAGACCAACAATCAACAGATGGCAATCACTCGGGGTCATGACTATCCTGGGCCAGGTTTTCACTGGTGATCTTCAATTATACGGAGACTTATAGCCCCAATCTGGTCTTGCAGGAACTCCCTCCGAAGTCTGCACACATCTCTAGAATCATCCCACTGCCAGCATCAGTGAACTCTCTCTCTTAAAAGGGAAAAAAGGGCTTCCTGAATATACCTACACAATGGCCTGCCAAAGAGACTGTAGAAGTTGTCTGCAAGCCATGAACTTGAAGGGAAATGTCCTGGAGTTTTATTGCTTAGTGCTGAGTGACATTTATAAAGCCATCTCTTTCAGAAGTATCCGTCTCCTAGGGGACCATTTGAGAATAACATGAAGATAATGTCATAAGGAATGACAAAAACAGATTTGACTCGTGCCACTGATATTTGAATGATTCTATTTAATATCACACCTTGATATTGAACACATATTCTTTTCATGACACTGGGCATGCTCTGTGATGACTTCTCTGAAGGAGTCCCCAGTCCATGTGGGTAAAACACTTTATAATTATGATTCAGAATTCATAGAGCCAAATACTCCCTTTCCCTGTTGACTTCCATACTCGAGCAGCAGTAGGAACCAGAAGGAGTTCGCTCTCTCAGCTTTCTGATCAGTTCCAAAGCTGTTTAAGACCCTCAGTTGGGCCCTTTTGAGTAACTGATAGGATGTCTCAGCCTGAAGGGAGCAAAAGCAGAGAGTTTACTGGCCAATGTAATGGAAAGTTCAAGATCTGAGGGCTATTTGAAAATGCTTTGTACTTGTGACTCCAACATGTCGCTAGAACTCCATCTTGCTCACTCTGTCTCCATCTGGGGCTCCCAGTACTGCTTATACCTCCATCTACATGGAAAGCCCAGAAGCTCCATTCTTCTTTCCTCACAGTTAGAAAAGAAAGTAGATATTCATTATTCCAGTTGTTTCATTCAAAGTCCTAGCCCAAGTTTCATTGGCCTCTCTTGAGTTTCTTGATCATTCCCATATTAGTTTGCAGGTTGACTAACCAAGGATCACACGCTGGGTACCTGGAGCACAGAGATTCCTGGTCTCACACTTCCAGTGGCCATAGGTCCAAGATCAATCTCTCAAAACCCTTGCTACCTTCTGAGGATGATGAGGGAGAATCCTCCATGTTTTCCTCCTAGCCCCTTGTTGCCTGGGTTTGAAGACAGCATTCTGCCTAAGTTTTCCCTCTTTTTTTCTTGTCTTCCCTCTTTGAGTGTCTGAGTGTCCTCTTTTTATTCAGGATGCTTTGAAGTCACTTTAGTGAGTTTTTAAAACTTGCTTACTTCTGTCCAGCACTGTAAGGAAAAATAATCTGTCTCTGATAAGAACCGTATTGGAGATACCACCACCCCCACACAACTCAACCCACAGCCACCAGTAACTGGAAGAAGGAAAGAGACACTGGTTAGCCAGTTCAGAATCTCTTGAGCTTCCTACTGCTGAGTGAATGCAAGGGATAGAACTGAGAAGGGGCTGGCTAACTTCCAAACGGTCAGGCTGCTCTACAAAATGAAAGGGCGTGAATGGTGGCAGGTAAAATTACTGTCCATTATATTAAGGACCTATTGAATGAAAATAAAGCCTACTTCCTACATACATGACTATATGCAAATCACCAGATAAAGTGCTAACTCTATGTATATGCTCTACCATAAAGGGATCATAACATTCAAATTTCCTTCCAATTCTCTTTTTTTAAACTTTGTGTGTGTGTGTGTGTGTACCTCTGCTTCTGCTTTTGGTCTTTACCTTTGATCTTATTTGAAACAGAATCCTTTTTTGCCACTGGGTATGCCAGTGTGCCAAACCCCAAACCCATGAAATTCCAGTTTCCACCTCCCATTTCATCATAGGAACACAGAGATTGCACACATATGCTACCTGACCCAGCTTTAGGTGGGCCCTGAGGATTGTCACCATTTGGAGCAAGTGCTTTATCCCTTGAACCCTTTCCCTGACTCCCCACTTCTTTTCTGCTAAAGGGGAATTTGCGTTGTCCCTGTCATTTTAATAAGCTAAAAGCACATTTGGCTGTTTAGATGCCAGTGACAAGGAAAGAGTATTGACAGCCAGCTCCCATCAGTTACCGAACAACAAAGACTGACGATTGAAGAGCCGGGGGACAGACTTGGCATCACCCTTGGCTGGAGTCTAGCCAAAGGTGAACTCAGGAAGACCTGGCTGCAGAATCTACGGCAGGAGCCATCCATTCCCTTCTAGTGTCGTGGAAAGTAGCACACATGCATCAAAGCATTTTTCTCACCAGGCTTAGGGCAGGCTCAGACTCCCAGAAACATCCCCGGTCCTATGATTGACACACCGAGCTGGTAAACAATACCCACCCTTGCACACCGCTGACCAGCCTGTCTAGATTCTTCCTAAGCCAGGCCCCCACCAGCCTTTACAACCCAGTCAGAACTGGCTTGAGACATCCAAGCCATCTGCCCTCCTGCCCTTCTGGGCTTTCTGAGATACTTGCCCTCAGAGGGCCTCGCCTGGGCTTTTTGGCACCTTTTTGTTCCTGCAAGCTCATCTTACGTGTGTATGCAAAGATGTATAAGGCAAACACCATCTGGGATAATATGTTAATAGTATTCAGCACACTCCTTGGCTTGGTGTGTTTCTTATCTAAATCAGAACAAACCCTCTTCATAGCAATACTGTGACTGCACACCTCTGGTTTCTAGAAACTCAGGAATGCCTTTCTTCCCAACTGTTCGGGATGTGGGCTGGTGTTCTGCCAGCTCCCTTACTCTTAGTTCATTTCTTCAATAGCATCTTGGTGAGAGTCTTTTCAGAGCCTGGGGACTCCAGCCTCAACCCCTTCGAGCAGCTGAAAATGCCCGACTAGCCCTCTGTATGGTGCTGCTGTGGCATCTCATAAATTCCTGACTGATTATTTATCTGACTACACACTGACACCGACAGGTCATTCACATTAGTCCAAATCCAAATGGGGCTTTGGTGGTAAACATCTACTCAGGATTCTCTGTCACTGGGCTAAGGGATATCCTGAATCTGTGCTGAAGCGAACTTGGGGAGAACGAGGAAAGGGCAAGTAATTCAAAGCAAAAGCAGAGGGAGGTAATTGCAAGAAAAAGAACAAAGCCATTCGAGGTCCTAGCGAATGCATTTGTGCTTCCTGTCAGTGTGCCTCTTGACTAAACTGCTTTGACTACGGGGATCAATAAAGGGCAAGACCTAGAGATAGTAATTATGCTAATTGGTAGTGACTAGGAAACAGGCAGGCCGCAGGATAAGCAGACAGTGTCTCTAGAGAAACAAACATGTTTGTTAAGGAGAGAAAGATCCGGTCCCCTCTATGAGGCTTTTCCTATAATCCGCTTTCTAAGCGATTGCAAACACAGCAATCAACATTGGAGTTCTTACCTAAGCAGATGATAGCACATGCCATGGCTCCCGCCTTCCCAGGTTTATAGCTTGGCTCAGTCTCCACTAGGGTCAAAGTCTGTATGTATATACATATATACACAAAGGCACATATGAAAGCCATTTCTACTGGGAAAAAAAAGAGGAAGGACAAGAGAGGAAAGGAAGAAAGAAAATGAATAAAGAAAGGAAGAAAAGGGCACAAGCTAGAAAAATGACTCAGCGGCTAAATGTGCTTACTGTGCAGGTATGAAGACCCGAGTTTTGAAACCAGCACTCGGGTAAAAGGCCAGGTGTGGCCACACACACACACACACAGAACCCTAGTGCTGAGAGGAAAGGGTGGAACCAGGAGGATCACTGGGGCTCGCTAGCCAACAGCCTAGCCCCAGATCTAATGAGAGCTCTCAAAGAAATACGGTGGAGAATGATAGATTGATAGATCACATACATGCACATGCATTACACACAGAGAAGTGAACGGCTGGGACTGTAGTAGCAGAGTACCATCAAGAGGAAAAGGGACCCAGGCCAGATGGAAAGAGTCAAGAAAGCCTCTTGTCACCCCACGTTTTGAGTGGAGCTTTGAGTGCAGGGAATGAAGTCGCTGTGGCTAGAGAAGACAAGGTCGAGATGCTTACATGGAAGAATTCCATCAGCTTCACGTAACCTTTGTGTAAAAGCATATTGTTAAATATGGAAACTTAAGGGCTCTTGGTTACCATGTCCGAGACCATAAATGGACAGTGCAGTGGACTTAAACTGAGTATTACCCTCAAATTTCGTATTTGAAACCCCACCCCCAGTGATGATATTAGGAGTCGTAAAGAGGTAATTCGGTTTCATAGGCAAAGCCCCAAAGGCTCTCCAACTATTTCCCACCACATGAGAGTTTACAAATAATAATAATAATAATAATAATAATAATAATAATAATAATAATAATAATAATAATAATAAAAACAATGGCCGAGAGCCTGAGTTATCCTTTCCCAGAACCCAAGCGTTCTGGTGTCAACCTTAAGAACCTGTAAGAAAGCTGCTCAGTCTGTGGTATTTTTGTTAGAGTGGCCCCAACTGACTGAGATGAATGCCATCTTGGCACAGACAACCAGATAGCCATAGTGTGCAGACATACAGCAAACATGTGTGTGCATACATGCATGCATTTATGCCAATTAATTTAGATTTATTATTTTGCCAAGCTGCTCTGAGATTCTGAATTTCTCAGTAAACATTAACTACTATAATTTTCAATTTTCAGACAATTTTCTTTGGTCACTGGAATTATATTTAAGACTCCAGTACTAATAAACCCTTGATAAAAGTTGGATAAATACGTGAGCATTTAGAAAGATAACTGAAACGCCAGGGCTGTGTAGCTATCAAACCCATTGCTCTTGGTCCCTTCCTCCAGTAGAGAGGTTCAGTTGTCAAAGAGCTTTCCCTCGAAACAAATCTTGACTTCCTGAGGTTTTCCCGTCATTTCAGGCCATGGGAAGATATGGAAGTCATGAACACTGTGTACATCCTGGGAACCATATCCCCCTGCAGAAGGGAGACCCTTATGGTTCTAATGGCATGAGTCAAATATACAGGAGCTCATTCACCAGAGAAGCCCCAGACTTCCATGCGCGTCTTTTAGGTTTTTGTTTTGTTTTTTTTTTTTTCAAGACAGGGTTTCTCTGTAGCTTTGGTGCCTGTCCTGGACCAGGCTGGCCTCGAACTCACAGAGATCCGCCTGCCTCTGCCTCCCGAGTGCTGGGATTAAAGGCGTGCGCCACCACCGCCCAGCTATGCACGTCTTTTAAAAGAACATCCAAACACCACAGTAACGTCAGCTTTCTCCTTTGCAAGTGGGAGTTCTGCAGGGTAATCCTGAGGTTGGATGGTGCAGAAAGAGGTGTGAACTGAAAGCAGGGACAACTCACGTGATATTTCCTTGTGACAGCTTCACTCCCTGCTGTGGAAGGTGGAAGGGAAGGCAGGCCGATGTGGATTAGCTTTGAGAACTTTGGAGTTGCTTCCCGGTAGAGCAACTCAGAAAGCTCTGCTTCCAAGGTGTCAGAGCTGCTACCAGCAGAGACCAGCATGTCTTAAATAAATATATTTGTGTCCTTCCTCGTTTAGGAAAATAAGAAAAAGAGAGTTACTGCCACAAACTCCAGTTGATGTGTATGTGAACTAGAAACAAAGATATACTTGCCACAAATGGTTTCTAGATTCGGGACAGCAATACCTGCCCAACAGATAAGACTTCTCCATGAACAGTGATGGTGTTCTTTTCCTTATTATCTTTGTCTCTTATCTTGTCCTAGCCTCTCAAGTTAGAGAGAGAACAGTGTCGTGAATGTTTAGGAAACAGAAGCAAAGGCTGGAGAGGGGACTCAGCAGTAGACAGCACTGACTGCTCTTCCAGAGGACCCGGGTTCAGTTCCAGACACCCACATGACAGCTCACAACTGTCTGTAACTCCAGTTCAAGGGGACCTGACACCCTCACACAGACATACATGCAGGCAAAATACTAATGCTCATTTTAAAAGAGGAAAAGAAACAAACAAACGAACAGAAATATTCTTTAGGCTTGACAGTACCAGGAAGTACCTGCCCCTAAGAGGAGACACACAGGAGACCCAGAAGATTCAGCAGAATGCCAGCAGGGGTCCTCTAGATGAGAAATGTAGATGCCAGGGAAAGGGGGCAGATTAAGTACAATGGGCACAGAGTGAATGTTTCGTGATGGAGGCTGGTACCATGAACACGAACAGGTACCAGGTCTATAGAATGACCCAGGACAATGAGAATGCCTTGCGTGGTTAGAGTTCAAGGATGACCTAGACCTCAGGTCCTTGTGGAATTCAGTACAGCCTAGAAGAGAAAAGAGGAGAGACTAAACTGAGAAGTCTCAGCTCCTTGGATAAATTGAGGGGTCTGGGGTGACACATAACTTTCTTTCCAACATAAAATTATACATGTAGGAACTGAAATGGGGGCAGGGGGTCTTCTCTTTTATGCTGAAGCCTGTGGATGGGGCTCCCCAACAGGCATGCAGTATGTTCATTTCTTTGCAATCTTCCTATGCTTTGTAAAACTGAATGTGGAGGTATGGTCTGCCCAAGGTCACCTGACTAGTTCAGCTGGAACCCAGCCAGACCTAGATCTTCTGTCTTACCCGTCAGGCACACCCCAAACTGCCCCACCCTCTCCTCATTTTGCTTCATTCGGGGCCTTCTGACGTCTCCAGATGACTTTGTTTACAGTACAAAACAACAGGGGATGGCTGCACTTTAAAGCCATTGTGAGGCATGCCATCCTATCCGTGGATTAGAAATAACGATACTGATTGCTAAGCCAAACTCGAGCATGTCTATCACTGAAATAATTCAAAAAGCTATTTTTGTGGGAAGCATCCTCATGATAAAAGCAGTCATTTTAGTTGTCCTTAAAGGACGCGTCCCTCTGTAAATTCATATAGCAGGCTGGACTCTGGCGCCCAAAAGTGACACCTTCCACAAAGCATATATAAATGACTGTGATCTGCAACGGAGGTAGCACAGACAAATAAGGCTGCCAGTCCGCAGAAGAGGACTTTATTACTAAATTATTTTGCGAGGTGTTGTAAGTCGAGAGAAAGTGAATCTACAGCTAACGCTCCTTTGGTCCACTTATCCCATCCTCATCTCCTCACGTTGATGAGAAGAGTGCAGGAAGGCTTCATCAATTACAAGCCTGTCCCTTTTCTCTCCTCTCTGTGAAATTGCATTCCTTATAAATGTCCCTGTACCGGTGCCTGACAAAGCGAACATCCCAATTCCTGAGACATATATGTCAGCGTTGGGCAATGAGGGACAGCTATCCTCCTGAGGCTGTGAAACCCGGGCTACCTTCACATTCAGTCTCACCCAAGCAGGACCAGAGAGCCAAATACCAGGCTATGATGTCCATCGGCCCATAGTCCACATTGGTGATCTGCAAAGGCCGCTTATCTCAGAACAAGTGAATGGCCAAAGATTCAGGTCAAAACAACGCCCCTCTGCCAAAGCCAGAACAATACCTTTCAAAGCCAGTGTGTCAGATGGAAAGGGTCATGGGTTATTGCAATGCAACAATTAAAGATCTGGAATGAGTTCCACAGAAGGGCAAGGAGCCGTCTGCAAGCCTTTTGGCCCATCAACTAGAAAATCATAGAACTTAAAGGTTTACAAGAACTAGCTGTAGGTTTCACTCTCTAACACTTCCCAATGTGTTGATAGGTATAAGAGAAATCCTTATCCTGAGTTGTTATTAAATAGGGATATTTGGTAATATGCATGATGGCCTTAAATATAATAATGTACACTAATTTTAAATTTGCATAGATAGAGGATGCAAGAGGAAATGGCACCGAAAGATGATCTCCGTTTCACTTGTAGATTCTTAAGCATTCTCTTTGATTTGCTTTCCTTCATAAATACTGTGTGCAGACTTGAAATTACTTTCCAGGCTTTGCATCTGTCTTTGGTTTTCTTCCTTCTTGTTTGGGAGGTGGGTGTTTTGTTTTGTTTTTGTACTTCGAAACTAACTTGATTTGGTTTCTTGAGTTTCAACGATCCCAGAGAATAAGGGCACAGTCCACATGTGACTTCTGATACTTTTATTGAGCGCTTGTGTTCCTTCAACCAAAAAAATGCAACCTTTGAAATCCCTAGACACCAAAGCATTATCAATTCTTTGATCAGGTTACGCTGAGAAAATCATAAATTAGTCAACCATTCTATTACTCCAAGCCCTGGTTTCCTGGGAGATCAATGTAGAAGCAGTTTAGGCTCTACAGTTTAGGCTTTATGCAGAAGAATGACTGGCCTTTCTTCTTGTTGTTTTTTTCTAATGTATAATAAAAACATAACTGAACTTCTCTGAGGTTTCTGAATGTGAGGAGCAGCTGCTAGGAGGACAAGGATAAACTGGGTGGGTTGATTACTATGACTTTAAAAGATCCTGGTCCTCTGTGACAGCGTACATGGTCAGGGTCATGCCAGGTGTTACAATCCTGAATACAGTACCGGCTCTCTTTCCGGCCAGATGTTACTAAAACATTTCCAGATCACCACCTTCTCCCCTGGATTTCTGCTGGATACAGGGGAAGCAACTGAATATAGCCTTAACTCGGAAATCATGGGAACTCCAGTCTGGTACTATGGGACCATTTAGTTACATCACATGCCGATCCTCCTGCTGCCAGATAGGACTGGACTCTTAAAACGGCTCTTTGCTCCCCAAACGGAACAGAGACTTAGACCTATTTGTAAGACAGTTTGCCTTAATACCTACAACCTAGTGCTTCTATGACCAATGGCTGAGTTGTCTAAAGAGAATTTACCTATAAATTGAAAGTTGAAGATTTCTGGTTCCCTAACTTGCTTACTGGACTTCTACTTCAATTACCAAAATACACAAAACACACCCACTTACAGATAGACATACATATATATGTATGGATGTATGTGTGTATGTATGTGTGTATATATGTTCATAGAAGTTTTGAATCTATATACTTAATTAGACCTTTCAAGAAGTGAATACTAAGGTCTTTATCAAGTAGGGTATACTCATTAGAAAATGACTTTTGCAAGATAACCAAAACTGATTTCTGTTTTTATGGTGAACCTCGCCTGCATCTAACTGTGTCTGTAGCTTATGCTGCCAGAACACACAGGACTTCATAGAAAGAAGAGAGACAGGAAGTAGAGTAGAGCTAGTAGGAAATAAATGTGCCAGGGGTTGAGGGTGGAGCTTTCATGCAGGCTTCCATAGAACAGGGAATGATGTCTTTTTTTATCTTAAATGAGAAGGAAAAGATGTTTTCTGTCCTAAATATGCTGAAACGCTAACTGGCTAACTGTTAGTCCAAGAAAATATACTGGGGATTGAGCTGATAGCAAAGTCCTTTCTTATTTGTTTGTTTTGGTTTGCTTGGTTGGTTTGGTTTGGCTTTGGGGGCTTGTTTTTTTTTTTTTGTATGTTTGTTTGTTTGTTTGTTTTTAGAGACAGGGTTTCTCTGTGTAACAGTCCTGGCTGTCCTAGAATAAGCTTTGTAGATCAGGCTGAGCTCAAACTCACAGACATCCACTTATCTCTGCCCCTACCTGGCATCAGTGTCCTTTTTGCGTGCAAGGAATATCCTTTGGGGAAGTTCTGTAAAAGTTGGGTGTCTCTGTTGGGGACAATGAGGATGGAAACTGTGCATCCCTAACCAAACCTGGGTGCAATTTTGGTCCATCAGAAAGAGATGACCATATGTGTCAGAGAGAGAGAATATTGTCAACATAAACACAACCAAATTGTCCTCACTCTGAGTCTGTATAATCGTTCACAGCAAGTCATAGCAACCATTGCCAAGAAATATAGACCCTCTCATAACGACATACTTTTATATTGCATTTTGCTCACTCTTTCTACTATGGATTTGATTCCTTCCAGAACAACATGCTAATAGCATCAGATAGAAGACGCTTTCAAAGGGTAGCTTACTTTAATGATTGTTTTAAATGTTGTTTCATTAAGGGAAGGGCTCAGGAGAGAGAATGAGATAGCAGAACGAGATAAAGAAAATGACTGCAGATCTGGTGAGGCCCCGAGTGTGTCCACATCAACAGGGGTAGCCCAGGAAGCCAGCTCAGGTGGCCTTGTCTGCCAGACGAGTGGAGGTCTGAACTGTAACATTCCTGAGATTTATTGTGTATTTGCTCTTGTGTCTGAAAACAAATCTCTATAGACCTGATATTCGAAAATTCTCTGAAGTATAAATGGCTGGGTCATTTTCCTTCCATTCAAATAACCTTTTTCGATTTTTAATAAAACTATCACTAATATTTACACTTTTGAGCTTTAAAATGTAATTCATAGTAAAATATTTAAGCTATATTTGAGCTAGGGAGCTGGCTGTGGGGAGAAAGTGCAAACTATGCCTCATGGGAAGCTAAACTTGAATCCCCACTCACACGCACATAAACCAGGCACAGGGACACTTATCTATAATCAAAGTGTGCTTCCAGCGAGATGGGAGATAGACAGGAGAATCCCTGGAAGCTCTTGGACCAGAGAGCCTAGCCTACAAACAGGTGAACAGCAAAAAGAAAGGCCCTGCCTTCCACAAGGTGGGACTCAGGAGGGACCTACACCTGTGTTTCCCTCTGGCTCATACATGCACTGTGCATGGGTACACAAATACTTCCATGAATAGGTTCAACTCTGAAAAACGCTGAAAATGATCTATATCTTTCAATATCAAATATTTAGCCAACTTTTAATTTCTTAAATAAAATATGTTTAAATTCATTTCAAAAAACAGTTATTACAGCAGTAGCAGCCAGATAGTGTCAAGTTTCTGCTGTTGCTGCTACCTTCAGCTTTAGTAAATCACCACTTACCTTCGCCTTGGCACAGTTTCCAGGCTTAGATAAATAGTCATTAGACCGTGGCTCTCAACCTATGGGTTGCAGCCCCCACGGGGGATGAATATCAGATGTCTTTCATACTGGATATTTACAATACAATTCATACAGTAGCAAAATTACAGTTGATACAGGAAGTAGCAATAAAAATAATTTTATGGTTGGGATGCCACAACATGAGGAACTGAATTAAAGGGTCTCAGCATTAGGAAGGTTGAGAACCACTTGCTGTCTTAGACTCTCAACCTGGGGTGAACTGCTACTGGATCTTCCCAGGGTTTCTAACAACTTCCCCAAGTGGGGTCTAATGCCTTCTTCGACGTTCTCTGCGTAGACACTAACCTTATTAGAACACGGCTGTTAGTGGCTCAGTGCGAGCAGAGAGTCCGGGAGGCCGGGATGCCTTGAACTTTGAAGCAAATCAGCATGGATTTTAATCATGGTTTAATGTCTTAATGGCCACTATCGTACAGTGTGAGACATCCGATGAGATGGCTCAGCAGGTAATGGCTCTTGGCCCCAAGCCTGAAGGAGAGAACCAACTCTTTCAAGTTATCCTCTGACCTACACACACGCACGCACATACACACACACACACACACACACACACACACACACACACACACGACTCCCGCCCACATCTCCACTAATGTTGCTTTTATACTACATCCGGCTGGGTGGATACTGAAAATCTGGGGAAACTTTCCAGCCTTCTGTTGCCCTCGCCAGTGAAAACTGGGGTCTACCTCACAGTCTCTGACAAGGAAATGCTGGTGCCCACAAAGTGCAAGAATGAACTGTGTGTCTAATGCATTTTGGTTCAGAACTTCCACTTCCCCTTCCTCCTAAAATATCCCAGAAATCTCCTGAAACTCTTCTTCCCAGGCTAGCTGTTCTCTCTGGTCTTGAGATGGGTAGATGCTCTAAGTTAAAGCTGCTGTCCAGAAAAAGGTGCTCACGTCACTTCAGGCTCACTAGACTCTTGAGGCTGTGGAAGAAGCATGTGAAGAGTCCTCTGAGCAGGCCTTTCTCCTTGTCCTTCAGGGACCCTTCCTGGCCAATTCCCAATACAAAGAGCACAAGTAAAGACTTCCATCTCTACCTGCCCTTCAGAGCTCTCCCCATGCGCTCTCTCTCTCTCTCTCTCTCTCTCTCTCTCTCTCTCTCTCTCTCTCTCTCTCTCACACACACACACACACACACACACACACACACACGTACACGCATGCTTCATAGCGATGAGTTTTCTTTCCCATTTCCTTTTCCTAGCCTTGCTCACCAGCTCCTATGGACAGAGACAAGAAAACAGGTCAAATGTCCATGTGTGTTGAGATTCTGCCCTGTCCTTCCAGGACACTGCAGGGCCAAAGGCAGCTAGCCATAGCAGCCTGACACATGCCAGCCCTTAAACTGTCTATAGGACATCACAAAAACAGAGCTTAACTTACTCTTTACCTTCTACTCATACCTAGGGTCTTCACTATGCCTGTTCTAGCTCTGATGTCCTGGAGACTGACTTCCAAAGCACAGGGAGTCTGCCTGCTCCCTTCTCTGTATATAAGAGCTTTTCTAGACGTGTGTTCTCTGTGTTTCGTCTGTTCATTCTTCTGTAGATCACTTAGACAAGGATGAGACGTGTCTTATTTTATTAGACCTCAAACCATCATGGCAAGGCTCGCTTATGGTTTTAATTTTCTGATTGCTATTGTCAGAGGTCCAGGGTACTCTAGTAATGGACGTGGGTGATCTGTACAATACATTTCTAACCACAGATGACCTTGAACTTTTGACCCTTCTGTTTCCATCTCCTACTTGTCCTGGGGTTACAGGCCTGTACCACCGTGCCCAGTTTATGCCATCCTGGGGATTGCATACTACATCTGACTCGTCTGTGCATGCTACATGCTCTATGGCTGAGCTACACTCCCAGCCCTTAAAAATCACTTTAATTTCTTGGAAAATATAAATCAACTTTGTATTCTGGTTTCCTCACAAGTGGTTTGGAACTGAGTAAGCATAAATGTCACTGCTAATCATCAAAGGGTTCAAAGCTGCTCTCTTGGAAGAAGTCTAAGATTTTCCCGTAGAGTTACTTTAGCATTCCAGTGATCTCAGGTGAGTCAGGCAGAGGGAAGACAGGATTATCTTGGATCCTTAAGTTTACTATATCACAGTCTATAAATCCACAGCTTGTAAAACTTACATTTGACAGGTAGTTTTACAAAGGCTGTAAACGCTGACAAATGCCAAGGGATTCCATTAAATACCCAGGGACTTTTGCATCAAGTGTGCACATGTCTGTCTGAGTTTTGTATACAGTTTAGAAGGTTAAGTTTTAGTTTTTAAAAAGCATGCATTCATAAACGTGCATGTCACCATACTCAATGACATACATATTAATACAAGTAGAATATTGACTTGCCCCCGTGGCAAAGAGGAAACCTCCCTAAAGGCCTAGATAGTTGTTCACGGTCCTCCAGGGAGTTGCACACTACGGGGGTTGATGTACCGGCTGCACGCCAATCCAGGGTGGACCCATTATGTGGCTGGACCGGCACAACAGGTTCTGAAGGCTCAGAGGTTAAAGAAGTAGGTAGGCTAATTGTGGCCTTCGGGCTGTCAGGGCAAAAGAGTACAGGAGGACTTTTAGGCATCCTTCCAGAAAACTCAGCTTTCCCTCACTGAAAAGTCACTGTCCTTTGGCAACTCTGACCCATGTGCCTTATGTGGCCCCAGAGCTCTTAACACATAAGCAATGTTTTTATTTTATAAATATGAACAGTTGATATGGCGATCATCTGGAGTAACCGGGAAAGAAAGAAAATATAGCAGGTGTGAATAACTGCTTTTCTGTATGAAATGTCTTTAGACTGAGCATTTTCGGAAGCCTCACCCACACTAACAAGGGGAAACCGTCTTACTGGTCTCAGGGTGTTGCCACAGCAGCGGCAGCTTCTGGTTTTGTGAAGCAGGCTTTGGTGGCACAGCTCAGCCTTTGATCACAGTTATGTTTTACTATAAAGGACAGAGCACAGGAAAGCCTGAGTAATCAGAAGCCAGCCCAAGGGAGCATGATGTCAGATCGCACAAGGAAATGCCGTTCAAGGAGACTGCATGTGAACTTTGAGTTTTCACTTCTTTATAGACACCAAGTATCCAAGAAATGTTGACTGATTACAGAATGGCTGAGACGTCAGAAGGAAATGGTCAGAGTTCTCCCACACCTCCCGTCAGACCTTGTGTGGCGCTATCTACCCTTTTCCTTCTGCCGGCACAAGGGGTGGGGAGGGGTGTTGGATTTCTGACATGAGAGCAAAAAGAGGACAAGGGATGGTACGGGTGTGAGGAAAAGATGTGGGGAAGATGAGAAAGACATACAAAGATTTGCTTTCATACAAAAGCAAATTATGTAAGAAAAATGGAACAATGAGACCTGTTACTTTATACACTGATTAAGATTAATTGATTAAATTCTTTAAAAAGAAATACATTTCTTTTTTAAATTGCATTCTATTTAGTGGGAGGGCTGTGTGTGTGTGTGTGTGTGTGTGTGTGTGTATGTGTGTGCATGCAAGTGCCAAGACTTGAGTGTGGAGGTCAGAATACCGCCTGTGGGAGTCAGTTCTCCTCCTCCCCATGTAGGTCCTGGGGATCCAGTCATCAGGCTTGTCACTGAGTTCCTGTCCCAGGTGAACCATCTCATCAGACAGTGAAGACATTTTTCCTACCAATCCTTAGAGCCATAGCTTCAAGAAAAAAAAAATGAGGATGCTCGTCTCTCAGATGATCATCACAGACGAAATTCCCCCAGGATATTTTTGAGGAAGTAAAATCTTCTCCCACGTTTTGTCAGGAGAAATAAGAATATTTTAAGCCCTGTCTGCTTAGGTGGCTATTTCAGGTCATGTTTTACCTGTTCTCAAATGGTACGGTAGAGAATGGAGCCCTCGGTTACCGGCTTTGGTTACTGTCACCCACAGGAATGCTGGATGTTTGAAACCTGTCTGCATTCCAGATGTACATTTTTTGTACACTGTAAATGCCTTAAAACAAGCTGAGAGGTGTGTAATTACTAGAGCTGGCCCTGAAAAACATTCCAGAAGGCACATACACCGCCCACTGGAAGATTCTTGGCATGGAGACTGAGGTGTGGCACGTTTGCACATGGCGCTATGAGCTGTCGTGCCATGATTGGCGGTGATGAGAGACATGCTTCTCTCTTCTAGGTTGCATTATTATTTCCTTGGCTCAGACATATCTCCATTTTGAATCATAACTGTGGGAAAGCCCACACCCATCTCACCCCAACGTAAATTCCATTTCTCCCAAGACTGCCAGGTATGAAAGAACGCAACCGCCAATATTAGGAAAGTTGCCGGTATGAAATGTTTGCTCTCCCGTGTTTGGTCACTTGAGCCACCTAAGGGACACCCTTGACAGAGCCACACGAGAGATTTCTCCCTCCAAGATGGATCCTTTCGCAAGAGAAGCTGAGTTTTGGAGCAAGCTAATGGTAAGTGGAAAGAAGTATTTACTATCAAGGACATCCTGCCGGGCATTTTCCTCGTGGCTTTTTATAAAATGAAGATGAAAGGGGAATTTATAATCCAAAGATTGTGGTCTTGCTCATTAGTTTTAAGTAAAACATGCCTTCTAGATACCAAATGCTGTTAGTGATAAATGGCTTTGAATGAAATGTTTGCTGTGGGTTTTTTTTTTTCCTAATGTTATTGATGAACCATACTCAACAGCCTGCTGGCATGCGAGAAAGTGAGACCTCCGTAGCTCAGAGGCTTACTGACGGGGACACTGAAGAGGAACTTGAGTTTTGGGTTTCAAAGGAAGTGTTTTTAGAACTCTGGCAGACTGTGGTTTACTGGGAGAGGGGGTGTCTGTAACCATTCTCTTTGGAAATAGTTTATTGCTCCACATGTGTGCAGAGGTGTGTATATACAGGTTGCGTGTGTGGTCAGAGGGGTAGATGATAAAGGAGCATACTAATACCTGAGACTAAGTTTCATGATTTGGGGTTGGGCAAATTTAGGCCTCCCTCTCATTCTTCCTGTTACCAAGAGCTGTGTTTGGTTCAAACAAATTGGCAGAGTTCCCAGGGTGGCAAAAACCTTAAGTGTTCTGTTGGTCTTCCTATTTGGCAGTTGAACAAATGTAAGTTCCCCTATCCAGGCAATCTATAGTGAGCTTCAAGATCCCAGGTCCCATCCTGCCCGCACTGGCCAGTTGCTTTCGTTCATTTTACAACACTGTCTCATAGCATAGATGTTCATCTTCTCTTCGCCTTCCTAATATGAATTCAAACTTCACTGGAGACAGAAAAGAGCATTGACAACAGAAATGATCCTAAGATTGGCAGGGTACAGTATCTTTTGGGGTAAGACAGTGACCTGTCTATCAGAATGGCCTGTGCTACCTTCTTTTATGATAGGAAGCTGACTCCAAGAACGCCAAACACTGATTTCAAATGTAGTCTCGCTGTGCTCATTAAAACCTGTTCACTGTCTCTAGTGTCTCATGC